CTTACAGGAATGACCTTGGATGAAGGTCATGTCAAACCCTTTAATTTTGTCATAAGCAATTCCTGTATCAAGTATGATACTTACTATTTTTTTCCAGTGACCTTGAACTTACCGGAATGATATTGGATCAAAACCATGACACACCCTCGGATCATTAGTAATCTTTTACCAAGTTGACCTTCCAGTTTCTTCATAACAAAGTTATAATATCCTTGGCAAACTATCACGTACAGACGGACAGCTAGGCAGACGGACAGTGTGATTCCAGAAGACTCAAAACACCCCCACCCCAAACCCACACACTTCGTTTGGGGGGATATATAAATTCCTATGTTAAATTATGAACACTCTTTCCGGCCCAAACCTTCTCCATGGAATCAATATTTGAAAAAAAAAAATGAATGTATGCTATATTGGAAATTTTCTCATTCTAGTCCAGGGGTTCTTGAGAATACTATTTTCAAATGACCCCATGCGCGGATCTAGAGGGGTTTGGGGGCAGTTAAATGTATATACTAAGCCAAGTAAAAGTGACCATGTCCCCCCCCCCCTCCCCCAGAAAACGCGGACCCTTCCTCGAAAACGCGGATCTGTGTTAAAATTGTATGAAAAGTCTTAGGTATGAAGCTTTAAAAGTCAACGAACCCCCCCCCCCCCCTACACAGACACAAACACACACACGAAATTGGTTTTTCACGTTTGGGAAAAGAGTTTCTTTTTTTTTTTGGCTCGTCAAGAAATTTCTGGGTTGAAATATTTTTTTTTATTGGTAACCCCCCCCCCCCCCGGGGAAAAAAATTCCTTGATCAGCGCCTGGACCCGCGGCCATCTTATTTTTACTACATGTATCCGTTAAAAGAGGATGTGACCCTTCATTTGAATAAAACTTTACCAAAAATATTCTGTGTTAATTTTCGTTGTTATGGTCTAGTGTTTCTTGATAAAAATGAGAAAAATTTACAAGTAGCTTTAGAACAACAACGACGATAACGCTTATATACACCAAGAAAGCAAACAAAGATGAAGAATTATGAACAGAAAAGCTTCCTTGGGCCTTTGGCTTGGAAGGTGAGATACTTATTAAAAATTGAAATCATTTTGTCATTTTTTTTTTACAATCGACGGGCTGCATTTCAAAGAGAGAGAGAGAGAGAGAATTTCTAGCTAGGTCTTTAAATAACAGTGACATCGGTTCAGAAAACAAGGTCCCTAGGAATGTACATGTATATAAAATAGGCAGTGCCTATCTCTCTCGGAATTCATCACCGGCTTCTGTAAAGCTCCATCCTCACTTGTACTGACATGTACCTGGTAAAACAAACCGACTGCGAAAGGAAAATTTTCTATTTATTTTGAGGATGGGGGTATACGTATAGTGATGAGAGGAAATTTATTCACCTATACGTTCATTAAATATGAAAGATTGCTTCTGAGTATTTGTATACGATCGCACGACTTTCGTGTTAATTTATTAAAGTTGGATTATGTAAGCAAAGAACTAAACTAACATTTGTTGTAGATGAATAAAATAATTAATTAGCCGTTTATAAGTTTTTTTAACATCTGTAAGGACCACTTTATTTTAAAAAACAAATAATCGTCCTATTATGGGCACCCATGATATATTAGACAAGGTGTTTAATTAAAACATAATTCAGATATCGACATCCAAGAGAACAACACATTCTTTTTCAATGGCGGATACAGGAATTTTGAAAAGGGGGCCCGACCAGTTTTGGGTCGGGGTAGGGGCCCAAAGCCACATAAAAAATTGATTTATTAAATCTTGTGTATATTTTGGATTCAAAAGGGGGCAGGCCCCCTGAACCTCCTCTAAATCTGCCAGTGTTTTTTTTTCCCCATTATAAAGCGAAATTTAATAAAAATCTCGAACCCGATCTATTAAACGCGTTGACAAAGTTAAACAGACGGTTATAGTTTTTATGGCATTTTTACAGTGATATGAGAAAAGTCTGATAATTGCTGTTAATTTTAAGAAATAAAGTTTGTCATTTTTCAACCTCGTTCAGTATAATATAATTTACTGATAATTTTTTTTTCCGTTAAGGAGGAACACATGGACGAAGGATAAAAAAAAGCGGTATTCTGCATGTACATGTACACATCATTGCTATAATTGTGTACTCGGGATTAAACCCTAAATCCTTCGTTACATTGTATTTGGGTATAATTTTCACATGTTCTCAGGCGTATAATCATTTATTTTTATCTGTCTAAAGACAATAATTTCAGTTAATAGAGAAATGTTTTTATTTCGTCGTTTTCCCCCCATCCTTTTGGTTTACACATTTGCTTTGTACACAAAGCGTGTGTTCATGTACCGCTGTTTCTACACGCTATCGATGTGATCAGGAAGAACATGATATCATCCAGCAATTTACTTCTTATGAAAACACTTAATGAAAACATATTAGGTGAAAATATATAATTATACCCGTTAGTATCTTAGTATCGACCTGTTTAATTGCAGTGTCACCAACCGTAACGATCGATGGCCAGGACTTGAATATAATTTATTACCGTTATTAAAACAACTCGTCAGCTGAGCGGACATTTAAACAGTAAAATAGGGAAATTCCAGAGTTCGAAGTGTATTTATTTTGGGCGCTCTTCCACATAAACAAATAAAACCGCATTTACGCGTACTTACAATGTACATGCATGTACCAGTAACTCGTGTCATGGGTAAATTCAGTTTATTAGATGAAATAAAACAAATGCATAAGATTAATCTTCCTAAACAACACGTTTTTAAAACAATCTATCTGATATAAGGGACGGTATAAAATAACAAAGAAAATAACGGGTTTGTGTTTGTATTTAATTTAGAATGAGAACAAATCTTAACCTGTCAAATCATTTATAAAACATACTTCGTTTTCCAGACACTAATTGCCATGCTTAATCTTCACATGCACTGACCAAGAGGTCACAAGTTTGAAATGTATGGCTTCTCACTGCGTGAGTTTTGTCAACACAAGTCGGAGTAAACTATCTAAGCCAATTGATTCCCAAAGAAAACTGCATAGGAAGGGTTTTTTGGTACACTTTTTTAACGGGTAAAATTCTTTCGACGCTCGATAGAATTTTCAAATACAAGTGAAATATTTAGGTTACTTGCGTCCGACGTAGTATTTTGTATGCAATAATATTGTAAGTTAGGAAGAAAATAATACAAACTCAAAAGTACTTAATTTTATTTTCGATTTTCCTGACAATTAAAAATTTGACCTGTACGTACAATTATCGTGACAATTATATACATGCTGTTTAATGTTCATGAAAGAAATAGCAACTTGTTAAATAATTACATTAGAGAGATAAATAAACTGTTTCTTTAATACCCAAACAAAGTGGTCTTTTCGGCATTCAAAATGCATTGAATTTGAAGTGAATAAGTGAAAGGCAGTTAAGACTAGCTGATTAAAACGAGCGAGTGATAAACAGTAAGACGAAATCATATGAAAGATTCGAAATGATTTTAAAGTAATTTTCCACAAAGCGCAATTATCTCAACATTGAGAAATACAATGTTTATAAAAATAAATATGCAACTTTCTTGTAATATATAAATTGAAATGTACTAGCGACTTAATCAAAGATATTATGAAATAGTCTGAAAGATTCAACATATTTATCCACTCATCACTTAGTTAACAAAATGTATTTGAAATGGCCATTCTATGGTTTGTTTTGTGTATGACCTTAGGTCGCTGGTTCACACGCCGATTGATCCTCGGTGACCTCCTTTGCCACGCGCTATCGAGGGAGGGGTTACATAATTGTAAACACACAAATTCAATGTAAAAGGCGTGTACTTAATGGCTGTGAATAGTCTATGTTTAAAGTTTTGTTTTATTTTCTAACTTTATTGTTTGTTTTTATATGATAAGAAGAAAAGGTTACCTTTTTTTCCCTGTTTAGTAGACTGGTTTATCCAAATTTGAAAACAAACGAAATAAAAGGGAAAGTTGTCAGTAAATAATTTGGAAATAAAGCACAAAATACTTCAAGAACCTGATTCTAAAGAATATTAGCATCTAATGTAGCTAGGTTTATTATTTATAGTAAGTTTATTTTAATTACACGCATGAAGAGCTCTTGTTTACTTGCTGAATGAAAACACTTACCTGTATATGTGTTATGCTTCTAGCTGATTTAGAACACAAGACTCGAACAAAATAACGTTCTCTTGAGATCAATAAGATGTTAAATAACAACTTTAATTACGGCAGCTATTTCGAAATATTTACCGTTTTTGAGTTATAAAGCAAAAACTTTAAAGGGCCCCAGATCCCTAATTTTAGGGGCCAGACCCTTTTTAGTGGTGTCAAATGAAAGGCCTTAAAATTATGCACAACTTTTATTCTACATGTTTTATCAAAATGTTTTTAGTTTAGAAGATAAAAAGGAAAATATGTGTAAATTTTCGCTCTTTTAGGCGTTCTAATTTTTGACCCCTCTCTAGCGCCATTTTGAATACAGAAATTGAAAAACAAAAACCGATGTGCACAACTTCAATGCTTCTATTATTTAGATTCGGTAGAATTTCTACTCCAGCTTTTGTAGTCTCTGAGCCTTTGTCTGGAAATGAAGCGTCCTAAATTTTCATTTAAAGGGAGATAACCCAAAAGCGGAAGTGAATTTTTCAAATGTTTGAAAGCATTCTGATAGAGTTTTGTAACATCTATAAACCCTGCAAATTTGAGCAAAATCCGTTGAGAAATGAGCAAGATATGAGGTCTCAAAGTTGGCGTCTAGGAAAAAAAAAAAAAGAATAATAAGAATAATCTTAACCATCAGAATCAGTAGAAGGTCTCCCGCTGGAGCGGAAGACCTTAATAATAATCTTAACCATCAGAATCAGTAGAAGGTCTTCCGTTGTGACGGAAGACCTTAATAAAAATACCGCGTAAAGCCGATATATTTAAGAATAGTTTTCATTGGTTCATTGAAAGCCAATCGTGTGTTGCCAAACATGAGACTTACGGAGTGATCGCCAACATGGAAGTCGGAGTAGCAAGAAACAGTCGGAATCAGAAGACACTAATGACAAGACTGTTAATATTTTCATGTGTCTTTTATATGGCGTCAGGAAGAATACACAAATTAAGCCTTAAGGTAATCATGAAAAAGAAATCATACAACTCCATGTACATGTATGTAACCAACCAAATATTCTATTTTCTATTTCTACCCCTTACCAGGTTTACCAGCTTGGGACCAATCGCCCAAATGGTATATAGTAACCCGTTTGGGATATAATATCCCAAATAGGATATTAAATTATAATTCAAAAAAAAAAAACAAACAGCAATAGATACTGTATTGTTAAATCCGCATATATTGAATTTAATAACTTTGTGCAGTTTAGAAGTTAATTATCTTCCAAAGGGATAAATGTCCTAAACATTGGGGATACAGAAAAACAAAAACTTAACCAAAAGTTATTGCTTTTAAGTATTTTGATACAGACCAATAAACTTGCTTGTTGAAATTTGTCGTCAGGTGGCATAAAATTCACAACAAGTGAGTTTCTTGGTCTATAGAGACGATTATAAAGGGTTAGTAGGTGGATAAAATATACAGGTTGGTTATAGAATATGTCTAGAATTAGGGAATGAAAGGTCATTGATTGACCGTTGCTGGAAAGTGGCGAAATACATCCCCAAAGTGCGCAGAAAATCTTGCACCGTAAATTGCACAATATTTGCATTACAGGATCTGTAGCGTTATGGTCAAGACTAAAATATAAAACCATAATGCTACAGTTCTGCAGCTAGGTTAGTAATATTTTGAATTATATGGAAAATGAATACAGAAACGGCACATTTTTTTTATAGAAAATGTACACTTTTTTTCAATGGGTTACCCTGTAGTTCATGATAAATAAAACAGTGATTGATATCACTGTAGAACGATGTGATATGCAATTACTGTAAGCTACGCACTTGATTTTAAATTCTTTTATATGGTGAGGTAGAAAATATAATATGTAAACATTTTACAAACTCCATTCAGTTAATTACTTGCCTTCTGTATCACAGTTGAATGATTTCCATAGATAAAGTAAATAGACAAATATCAAACACCCATCTTTGTCTCTAGGATGCTCTATTTCAGATATCGAAATCGTGCAATGTTAAGTTAAAATTTTTTCTTGGAAGTATTATAGTATCCTATTCTTCATTTGTGATATTTATATCGATAATGTTAATAAATTTGTCCAACGGTTTTTTCTAATGTATAATACACAAGAGTGATTCGGAACTACAGATGATCCGGAAGTACGGAAAACACTGTATGCATATAGATTAGAATTATCTGCCCTTGTTTATTTTGCTTCATTGCCAACACACAAAAGTAATTCTATTGTTAAGTATGGTGTCTGGATAGGGCCATTTGCAAAAGCTCAACAGCGTGTTCAGAAAAACACGCCATCATGCTAACACACAACACGCCATCATGCTAACAGTTGTGTGTTAGCGTGACAGGGTGTTGTGTTTTAGCGCGACAGCATGTTGTGCGAACTTGTGTTAGCGTGACGGCGTGTTTTTTAATGATTTGTTAGCGTGATGGCATGTTGTGTGTTAGCATGACGGCATGTTGTGTGTTAGGGCAATGGCGTGTTTTTCTGAATGCGCTGTTGAGCTTTTGCAAATGGCCCTATCCGGACACCATAGTTAAGGTATGTCACTCATCACATTTTTCTCTAGCTTCAAAACTATTTATGACAATTCAATTTTTATAACATATTTGAATTAAACAATGCAAATTACACAACATTTAATTTAAAAACTGCTCACAAAATTAGAAAGAAACAAGATTATGGACATTTTTTTTACCTTGACCTTTCCTTTGATCTTGACTTTTTAAAATTTTTGTTTAGTCAAGTTTCAAAGAAACTATTCAAGATATTTTTATCAAACTTTATATGCTTATACATATTGATAAGAGCTATTAATGGCATCAGCATTTTTGACGTTGACCTTGACTTCAAATTTGTGTTTAGCATAGAAACTATTCAAGGTATATTAATTCGAAGGTGAAGGTCAAGGTCAAACATGGAGTAGACCTTTTTTCAGCTCTAGTGTAATATTATGGTTATTGGTTAATTGAGTAATTTTGAGGAGGGGATTTGTGATCCTACAACTGTATAAATGATCTGTGGACACTAATTTACCAGTATAGAGTGATATACAAAGTGAGTTAAAAAGTTTTCTTTGTGTGATTCATTCATAATCTTTGTACCTCCATATTGACATCTACTCAGTTTATCTAAAGTATTGAAGTTATACTGGAGATACCTGACCCTCCATAGCAAAACAGGTCTGCAAGAGTAAATCAACTTTTATTGATTACAAAACTTTGAAATACTCTTTAAATCCAATATTCAGGATATATGTCAAAATGTCTCTAAATACTGGTAAGCCTAAGAATAACAAGAACTTTGCTACAAGCAAAACCATGGGTCAGGGCTCAGGAGCCAGAAAAGGTAGTGGTCTAAATTCTGCTGTATCCTCTAGTGGACAATCAAGACAGCCTAGTAATAAGAGATTCAGAGAAGGGAGTGAGTCAGGGACATCCTCAGGAAATATTACCTCAATAGATGACACTAATCAGGATCTATCCCAACTTAATTCTCTGCTAGATCAACTCACCAAAGATGAGGAAAGCACCAAGAAAGTGATAAACATTATTCTTGGAAAACCTACAATAAAGTCGTGTATTAGTGAGCACTTCATGTCAGAAATATCTGACATACACAATGAAATGAAGGAACTGAAGAACAGGGTAGATAGTATGGAGCAGTATTCACGGCGTACATGCCTAAAATTTTCTGGAATACCTGAGGAACAAGGGGAACAAACTGACAACATTATTCTAAAGATTACAAATCAGCTCATTCTTCCCTCAGACAAACCCATGGAAATACATCAAATCAGCAGATCTCATAGAGTAGGCCCACCCAGGGATGATAATGTTCCAAGAGATATTATAGTGCAATTTGTAAGTTACCGTGACAAAGCCAGAGTGTTTGGAAACAAGCGGAATCTGAAGAACTTTAATCAAAATCCATCCAACAGATACAAAATATTTATCAATGAGGCACTCACGAAGAAAAGAGCCAAACTCCTATTTGAAGTCAGGAAACTTGTAAAGAACAATCAGCTGGATAGTGCATGGACCTACGATGGGAAAATAATTGTCAAGACATTAAAGAAGAAAAAAATCACCATAGAGACCGATGAAGGCTTCCAAAAACTACAAACTTTTCTTGAGTCACCAAGTGATCCCTTGTCTCCTGAACTGCATCAAGATTTTGTGCCACTTACCTCAACTCCTGCTAATGCTACCTATAGGGACTAGACGTCTTACGTATTGACTTTTGCCGATACGAATCAACCATTCGACGGCCGTAAACGTTGAAATTCCTTGCAGCATATTTGGTGCAAATCTGTCACTATTCCACGTGTGAAAACACTCCGGGTTACTGGAGCGCTTGTACACGGTTACTTGTATGTTTCACGCAGAGCAGACTAATTAACGAAATACATAACCAGGCCATGTATTTAACACACTGAATAGCTATTGTTATTCGCCATATACTACATCAATATGGTTTTCAACTTTACTGTATATACATGTATTTATATTGTATACTTTTTATTTGTTATGTTCTACCTTTTTTCACCAATTTTTTTCAACTCGGTTCTAACTACTTCCCAAGGCTCAGTAGACTGCACTTTCTGTGTTTACATTTGTTCTATTGCACGCAAAGTGAAAGTTGTTAATTTTATAATGGTTGTGGCATTTCTTGACCATACCTATTTCATTTTTGACACAAATGACTGAGATTTACCTATATTATTTCCCACAACCATGCGGAAAACTATGTGTAAGGGATGGCATTTTTAAAGGTATGTCCCTATATTATAATTTTGTAATATATTATTTACTTATTATAGGAGGCATTGAAACCAATCCAGGTCCTAAATTGAACTCCAATATAAGAATTATACATAACAATGTTTGTAGCCTTCTCCCTAAAATTGACATTATATATAATGAGTTATGTGATTATGATATTGTTGCCATTACTGAAAGCCATTTAGATCATTCTATTACTGATAACGATATTGAACTTGATGGATTTCAGGAACCTGTTAGACTTGACAGTAACAGGCACGGTGGTGGTGTCATGCTTTATGTAAAAAATAACCTTAGTTTTAAGAAACGTGATGATATATTTACCTCCAATATTGAAATTATATGGGTTGAGATTGAAAATGGCAATCATAAATTTTTAGTTGGTGTTATATATAGACCACCAAGTGCAAAAGCAGATTTTGTGAATCAGCTTGCACTATCCATAGAAAGTGCTTTGAATATTGAAATACCAATATTTTTATTAGGTGATTTTAACTTTGATATGTTAGCTGATGGTAACAATGCATTTAAACACATGTTAAAAAATTTTTCTCTGTCAAATGTCGTTACAAAACCAACAAATTTCTCAACATCAAAAGGTACATGTATTGATCTTATTATCACCAATGCTGTTGAAAGAATAGAAACTGTAAATGTCTTAACACCTTTTTGTAGCACACATAGTCCAGTTGGTGTTGATCTGCATTTTAAAACTTTCAAGCAACATTCATATAAAAGATACATAAGAAATTATGCAAATGCTAACTATACACAACTATGCACAGATTTGTCAAATGTTGATTGGGACAGGGAGGTATTTAATACTCACAATATTAATGACATATATGACAACTTTATGAAAGTATATAACTATTATGTTGACAAAAATATACCCAAAAAAGTAGTGACCATTCGACCTTCAGATAAACCATTTATGACAAGTGCTATCAGATGTAAGATGCGACAAAGAAATAGAGTACATTACAAGGCAAAACAAAATAATAACGAATACCAGTGAAGTAAATACCGTCATTTAAGAAATGAAGTAATAAGTATGGTACGTAAATCAAAACAGGTCTATAAAGAAAAAATTACTTCACAAATATTAGATAGAACAATTCCACCTGGGAAATGGTGGCGAATTGTAAAGTCTATTACTAAATTCTCTAAAAAACATATTAAACCCCCAC